TCAACAAATTAAGTTGTATATGAATGTTAAATAAATTAATCATTAGAAAATTTAAAATGATTCACATGCACCATAAATATAAGTTTAGAAAATATATATAAAAATTTGTAGTGGGTTTAGGTATTTTTTAAACAACACGAAAGATGGTAAATAGTATATATAGTATTTAACGGAAAATTCAGTTTTTTCATAGGGGTTAAAATGATTCACATGTACCACATATTTCATGAAAAATTATAAAAAAAATATAATTTTTGTTTTAATTCATAGCTGCATCATACACCGCCATAGTGTGAATATTCAATAGGTTTGAGACCTTAAATGTTTTTGTTTCTCTAGAAATTGGATTTTTATTGGGGTTAATCCACATATTAAGTGGTATTTGAATGTTAAATAAATTAATCATTGGAAAATTTAAAATGATTCACATGTACCATAAAGATAAGTTTAGAAAATATATATAAAATTTTGGTGTGCGTTTAGGTATTTTTTAAACAACACGAAAGATGGTAACTAGTAGATATAGTATTTAACGGAAAATTCAGCTTTTTCATAGGGGTTAGCCCACATATTTCATGAAAAATTATAAAAAATGGAATTTTTGTTTTAATTCATAGCTGCATTATACACCGCCATAGTGTGAATATTAAATAGGTTTGAGACCTTAAATTTTTTCGTTTCTCTAGAAAATTGGATTTTTATTGGGGTTAATCCACATATTAAGTGGTATTTGAATGTTAAATAAATTAATCATTGGAAAATTTAAAATGATTCACATGTACCATAAAGATAAGTTTAGAAAATATATATAAAATTTTGGAGTGCGTTTAGGTATTTTTTAAACAACACGAAAGATGGTAAATAGTATATATAGTATTTAGTGTGTAAAACTAGTACTAAATTGGAAAACGAATGTTGGGCCTTGTTTTCAACATCTCGGGCCTTGTTTTCAATCTCCCGGACTCCCATCTATAACTCTAATTTGGGTTTCACTTCTGAAGGCCCACTAACTTTCTCTACTAAAACTATACCACATGAGTTCACTCACACGTACCGACACCGTAAGCGTTCATGGGAATTGAAAGACAAACAAACAGAAATGCTTTATTTGTTAGTTTTAGACGTGAGCATTTTTCAAAATCAGCACGGAAATTTGTTTACAACGTGGTATGATCAGCAACAATAACTAATAAAGTATAACACAGTCACCATGCATATGCATTACCCTACCATGCTCACATTCATAGCATTAGCCTATAAATCATCATAGTATACGTTGGAACGAAAACACGAAAAACACAACACACCATGCATAAGACAACAACATTACTCTTTTCTTTGTTCACTGTCCTCCTCACGACCTCTTTTTCCAAAGATCTCTGTCACAAAGATGACAAAAACACCCTCCTCAAAATCAAGAAGTCCCTTAACAACCCTTACACCATCATTTCCTGGGACCCGAAAGACGACTGCTGCACATGGGTCTCCGTTGACTGCGGCGACGCAACTGTTGACCACCGCGTCATCTCCCTAGACATATCAAACGACAATGTCTCCGCTCAGATCCCTCCTGAAGTCGGCGACTTACCGTATCTACAAACCCTCATACTCCGCAAACTCCCTAACCTCAGCGGTGAAATCCAACCTACCATCGCCAAACTCAAGTATCTTCGTTTTCTCTGGCTAAGCTGGACCAACCTGACCGGTCCCGTTCCTGAATTTTTGAGTCAGCTCAAGGATCTAGAGTACATTAACCTTTCCTTTAATAAACTCTCTGGTTCCATACCCGGTTCTCTCTCTTTGTTACCTAAACTTGGGATTCTTGAACTAAGCAGGAACAAGCTTACAGGTGATCACTCACTCTCTTGATCTATTTTGACAAGGCCGGTTCTAACCACAGTCATATAAAACATTTGTCTTGGTCTTTAAAAATTTAAGATGCTATTATATATACATAGATTGCATTTGTCGCATAATATAAAAAAAATGTTAAGATTAATTTTAAAATATTTATGGTCTCATATCTTGTCTATTAGTCATTATTAACCTATAGTTAAAACTTATTATTATTTATTGATAATTTTGTTTTATAAACTATAAATAAAAAGAAAACCCACACGGTTATGCGGATCGATATCTAGTTAGCCATTATTAATCTATAGTTAAAACTTCTTGTTAGGTTCAATACCAGAGTCATTTGGATCGTTTAAAGGAGAGTTACCTCCTGAGCTTTTTCTATCGCACAACCAGCTATCCGGTTCGATACCAAAATCACTAGGCAACCTCGATTTTAACCGGATCGATTTCTCCCGTAACAACCTTGAAGGTGATGCATCAATGATGTTTGGAGCCAAAAAGACGACATTGTCCATTAATTTGTCGAGAAACAAGCTCCAGTTCGATATTTCCAAGGTTATAGTCGCTACTACAGTTAATAACTTAGACTTGAATCACAATGGGATCACAGGGAGTATCCCGGTTCAGTGGACCGAACTTACTCTTCAGTCATTCAATGTAAGCTATAACAGACTGTGTGGAAGCATCCCCCAAGGAGGGGATCTTCAGAGATTTGATGCTTATGCATATTTACACAACAAGTGCTTGTGTGGTGCACCTCTTCAGAGTTGTAACGTGAAGATTCAAGCAACCGATCTTTATCTAAATTTACCATCAGAATAAGTCATGTATAATGATATCTGTATGTTACATTCAGAATGGTTTATAAAAATGAATAAATTTTATTTGATGAATTCGCTAGCACATTTTCAAATTGTATTTGATCCATCGGCTAGCAACCACCAGGGTCGACCATGGGGATGAAAACAGTTACGGATCTCAAACTCTGATACCCTAGTATAGAGCCATGAGATAACATATGATGTAACAATTTGATCAATCTACCCCAACTCAATAGCCAATAGATATATGACCATATCTTATACACAAACCACAAGCTAAGAATATATAACCACTTTAAAGAAAAAGAATATATCAACCAATATGCAAACTAATGAGGATCAAGCAACCAACAATTTCCACCAGTAAAACTTTTCTGGTTCACTGAAATCACATTCGTTTCTGAAAGTATAAGGCTAACTTAAGAATGTAGTCTTGGAAAACATATAATACATTAGTATAATGTTATTATTATCTAAGCAAATTATGTTAAGAAATTCAGTTTCTAACTAGATTTATATTCATTTAAAGGATCTGTTTCTGAAAGTATAAGGCTTATTTAAGAACTAGATGATAACCCGCGCGCATGCGCGGAGTGAAATTTTTATACTAATATTTATTCATTAAATGGTTTTTAACATTTTACAATACTACACTATTTATCGATTAGAAAATGATGAATACAAATGTTGGTATCTTAAATCATCATAGGTCTGGAGGTTTGATACTTCGTCCATTTTATTTTGATTGACACGTATTTTCAGATTTTGGTACTATTTTCATAAATCCTATTTGAATTTTACTAATTATCAGATTGGATTCAATTTGATCTTCTGAATTCAGTTTGGATTGGATTGTAACCAATATCTGAAATCATCCCAAAAAATATTTCTTAAACATTAAAAGTTGACAAAAAAATCAAAATATTTAAACTATTAATAAATTTAATTTAAAATTAGTTAAATTATCTAAACAAACTAAAAGATATTAAAAAAAAAAAAGCAAATAAAACAAACTACAAAATCTTTCAAATACTATAATTTGTATCTACTAACCTCAAACCTTTTAAATTAACATATTTATAGTATGAATATCTACTAATGATACTTCATATTCGTACGATTTATGATAATTTGTATCTTCTTTGGAAAAAACAAAGTTAAACCATTGATCATAAAATTTTCAATGTGTGATTTTACTATTTTTAGTTATTTATGGTCGTTTTAAAAAAAAAATTAAAAATATAACCTATAAAATTTTTTAATTTTTTATTATATATTTAAATGTGATTGTTTAGTTTATTTTAATAATTTAAAATTAAACAAAAAAGAGAGGATACAAAAAATGTATTATTCATAATCATTAATTACATATATATGTTAATCATATTAGGTAATTCCGTAGCTTTTATTTAAGGAAATAAAATATATTGTTTTATACCTAAAAAATGTCTATATATTATAGTGCTAAATGCAAGAAATTAAATGTTACATTATTTCATTCCTAGCAAAGTTGGTACATTAAAAAATTAAAGCTGAGAAGCTCTGTGAGCTTGACACGTAAGCATGTTCTCCAAGGTTGTGCATTTATGAATGCTTCAGGATTAATATATAAGGGATGTAATCTTGGAAATCAATACTCCAAGGTTTGATCTCTCTCATTTTGGGGCCTTAATTTTCAAATTACGAACTCACCCTGCATTATTCTCATTTTGAAAGTCCCGGTCACTTTCTCGACTCAAATGTCTTTTCCTGTTTAGGAATCCAGTCAATTGAACCAGACCGGAAATCAATCCATGAGTTTCACACGCACCGTCGGTAAGCAATCGAAATACTTTATTTTAAAAATCATCTACCGGAACTTGTTTAACACATGGTCTACTGTGCAAAAGTAATAATAACTAAAACCATACCCTACCATGTTTCTCACTCACTGCGTTACTCTCGTTAGCCTATATAAATCATCACAAGTTTTTCCACTTAAGCTCAAACACAAACACAACACACTATGAATAAGACAACGACACTGCTCTTGCTCCTGTTCCCTCTTCTCTTCACCACATCTTTATCCAAAGACCTCTGTCACAAAGATGACAAAAACGCCCTCCTCAAGATCAAGAAAGCCATGAACAACCCTTACAGCTTCATCTCCTGGGACCCCAAGGACGACTGTTGCACCTGGAACTCCGTTGAATGTGGCAACGCAAACCGCATCACCTCTCTAGACTTATCAAACGACGACGTCTCAGCTCAGATCCCTCCTGAAGTCGGTGACTTACCGTATCTACAGTACCTCATATTCCGCAAACTCCCTAACCTCACCGGTGAAATCCCACCCACCATCGTCAAGCTCAAGTATCTCAAATATCTCTGGATCAGCTGGACCAGCCTGACCGGTCCGGTTCCTGAATTTTTGAGTCAGCTCAAGAATCTAGAGTACATAAACCTTTCTTTCAATAAACTATCCGGTTCCATACCTGGTTCACTCTCTTTATTACCTAAACTCGAGTTTCTTGAACTCAGCAGGAACAAGCTTACAGGTAATCACTCACTCTCTTTTTCCCTATTAGTCATCTATTTTTTGTAATTCCAAATATCTCATATTTCAAAATATACTACAGTGAAAGGACTACACCAAAATTATATTTTCTTATTAATTTATAGACATTATTAATTTATCAATATATTAATTAAATTAAAAATTCAATTTAAGACTATAAAATTATATTATTTTATAGAGATAATTAGTGTATATTAATTTATAGAATATTAGTTTAAAGATGTTATACTGTATTAGGTACGATACCAGAGTCATTTGGATCGTTTAAAGGAAAGGTACCTGACCTATTCCTATCACACAACCAACTCTCTGGCTCGATACCAAAATCATTTGCCTCCCTAGACTTTTACCGGATTGATCTTTCTCGGAACAAGCTGGAAGGTGATGCATCGATGTTGTTTGGAGCCAAAAAAACGACATGGCACATTGACTTATCAAGAAACATGTTCCAGTTCGATATCTCCAAGGTTAAGGTCGCTAAGACAGTTAATTTCTTGGACTTGAATCACAACGGGCTCACAGGGAGTATCCCGGTTCAATGGACCCAACTTAGTCTTCAGACTTTCAATGTTAGCTACAACAGACTATGTGGACCCATTCCCCAGGGAGGAGACCTTCAGAGATTTGATGCTTATGCTTATCTTCACAACAAGTGCTTGTGTGGTGCACCTCTTGAGAGTTGCAACGTGATAATTCAAGCAACTGATCTTTATCTCTAAAGTTACCAATCAAAATAAATCATGTATGAGGGTATCTTTATGTTCCATTTGGAATGATAAATAAAACATGAATTGATATAACGTTTGATGGATTCATGGCACGTTTTCAAAATGTATTTAATCGATAGGTTGGCAACGTTCGAACAGGGCACCACATGAACAGTTCAAAACCATTTTAATGTTGAATCTGACCCATTAACTGTTCAAAAAATGGCTGAGTTAAACTTTTTGTTATGTTAAATTATTGGATTATTTGATGCTTTTATTAGCTTTTGTGGAGTAGGTGACTGAGTGCATTGGCTAAAAAAATATGCAATCTATCGTCCTTAGCTTTTTGGAATTCTTTTCCAAAAAATCGAGTGATCATTACACCTAAACGGTTATAACTAAGTCAAATATCTAAATCATTATGCATTTAAAGTATTAAAAAGATAATTATATAAAAATGGGACTCTATCATTATGTACATAAACATAAACACCATATTTGATCGTTAGTCGTGTTAAGGTGAAGTTTGAAGTAAGTAACGTATAAATAGCGAATCTTTTCTAAAAATACAATATACATAGTTTGCTTCTATCTTAACATCAGCTAATATGGACTTCTATTAATTAAACTACCCTAATGTACACCAAATAAGAAAACAACGTAACTTGCCCAAAAGAGGAACTCAAAATATATTTGATCGGGCTAGCGAAGTTCGACATGGTCAATGGCTCGGTTTATGCGCTTCCTGCTTTGCTTAGCCATCTGGTTGTGCGGCCACCATCTATAATTTTTGGAGACAGAGAAATAATGTCCTTCAAAACAATCAAACGGTTTCTCCGGGAGCTTGATAAGGAGGGGTCCTTAAATACCATCCATGGTAGAAGATATAAAAGACGTTATCACCACTTCATGGCCGACTTCGTCTAGATAATTCTCTGTTTTCAAACTGTACCCCTTATCAATGATCATAGGACTCGGTTAGCTTACGTTTTAACTCCTTTGTAGTCTCCTTTTTTTTTTCCATTTTAATGATATTATTAACTTATTTTCTTCGTGGATGTTATTATGGACCGGACTATAGAAGCCCGATTGATAAAATGGTTTCGTTCGTATAAATACTTACTTAGCCTAGGGTTTCGAAGCTATTCGTTTTCTTTGTGGTCAAGGCGCTTATCCCCAGCAGAGCTGTTCCTTGGAGCTCACGGTGCTTTATTTTTTTTGTTTTACTCTCCCATGTAGATTGCTTTCTCTGAGTATTTCTATTCACTCCCATGAACATATAAATGATTTTTCCGATTTGATCTTGAAATATATATATTATACCTTTAGGTTGGTTTCTAAATTTCTGCTGCACATGTATATATTTAATGGTTTCTCCGATTGTGAATTTAATCTTTGTAGAGAAAGAAAAAATGTCTAGTTCAGAGCAGAATGATTGGCAACTGGTGGAAAAGGATTCAGACCAATCTCTGGCAAAGATTGAGCCTCCGCGTCCTCGAGAACCTCTCGGGATCACGCGAAAGGAGCTTATTGTTGTTCACATCACAGCGAAGTCTGTGGCTAGTAGTTGATGAGGAGTGTGTCGTCAATGAACCCTGAGTTTCAATCTCTGTTTCAGTTTCTGAACCCAACTGATAGTAGGCGCGGGTTTTTCGATGAGGTTACTCTCGTATACGTGTATATAAGGAGTTTCCCGCCGTATCCCGAGTACACCAATGGCTACCCTAGTACCGGTATTGAGGTATTTCTCCATGGTCTCCGTTACCTCCTCGATCACGACGAGGAGGAGGAGGAGGGAGACACAATCGATTTTCCGTATCTTACGGACGACTGCGTCGGCTGGCCATCTAAACCAGAACGTTTCCAGCATCCAACAAGCCCATATCAGTCTTCTGAGGGTGATTTGGACGCTTGTCGTGACGACTGTGACTGGTCTGAAAAACAAAATGAGTATAACTGCCTACAGTTTCCTGATGATGAACCAATTCCAATGAGAATAGGGCTTGGCGAGTCAGCACTTGACCCACAAGAGACCAGGGCCTCTCTACTATCAAAGATGATTCAGACCACTGTGCAAATTTGGACGAACATGTGGGAGCTTGGACAAACCCTAATTAACCCTGTAAAAGGCGTTTAAAATCGAAACTTGTACTCTTCTTTAATTATCTTTTTTTTTTTTATGTTTTAAACTATACTATCATGTGCTGACTTAATTATATATGTTTTGGATTTTCCGAAAAGTTTTGCCTCTGGAATGTTAAAACTTTTCTGTAATAATATCAAGGTTTAAACCTCTTAATCTCTTATTAGAGTGCAGTGCTAGTTTCATTAATCTCCACGCTCTGTCTCTGTCACTTATGTAATTAATAAGTTTTTTTTACCTCTCAATAAGTTTTGAGGCTCTTGTGTGAATTTTACGTAAAACGAGAGAGGAAATTGATAAGATTGGGATTAAGAATGTAGTTTGAAAAGTCTTGCATGAAAATGTCATTGACTTGTTCGTAAAGTAAACGCTTGAAGAAAAAGAAAATAAAAACGAAAAGGGTTGGTTAATTAATAAACTAACTATAAGATAAAATGACTTATCCCGCACGGAAACTCTTCTGTTAAACCCTAACTTCCCTCCAAGAAACCATTTCTTTGACGAGTTTTCTCTCTCTTTCTTCCTCTCCAAGTCTCTGAGATGGGTTGCTGTTCATGTGATTGCTTTGTCTACTTCGTCCTCTCTATTGCTTTGGCTTTCATGGCCGTCTCCACCACGCTACCTCCACGTCCAGATTCCAACATCGCAAACCCTAACAGACCGATTAATCATCATCATCCTCTCTCTTTAAACGCCTCAAAAGCTCTAAGTCAATCCAACTTCAAAGCAATCGCCACTCTCCTCCACGTCTCTCCTGAGATCTTCCTCTCTTCTTCTTCTTCTCCCAACACCACTCTCTTTGCCATTGACGACTCTTCCTTGTACAACACGTCATCTCTCCCTCCTCTGTTTCTGAAACAGCTTCTTCAGTATCACACAATCCCTCTGAGGCTTCCCATGAAGGACCTCCTCGAGAAGCGTCAAGGAACATGTCTCCCTACCCTTCTCCGTCACCAGAGCGTCCAATTCTCCACCGTTGACAAAGAATCAAGAACCGCAGAAGTGAATCATGTCATGATCTCACATCCGGACATGTTTCTTGGAGATTCTTTGGTTATTCACGGAGTTCTTGGACCCTTCTATCCTATGCAGGATCATATCCTTCATTCATCTTTATGTCAATCTGACACAAACAAGACCATTGTAGACGAAGAAGATTCCCTCCCGGTTAAGATAGATTGGAATAGGATCATTCAGCTGCTAAGCTCAAACGGTTTTGTCCCATTTGCAATCGGATTACACTCTGTTCTCAACAGAATCATCGCAGATCAACAACACAAGAACATGACCGGAGTAACGATTCTAGCCACACCGAGTCTGGTCTCACTGTCCTCTGCCTCTCCGTTGCTCTATGAAGTCATGAGACGTCACATTCTTCCTCAACGACTCACCAATAAAGACTTCTCTTCAATACCTGATAAAGCCTTACTCAAGACGCTGGATCCTTACCACGATCTCATAATCACCAGAAGAGGTCATCTAGTTAACAATTCATCGTCACAGTCACAGTGTTTGATGATCTCTGGAGTTGAGATTGTAGCTCCAGATATGTTCTCTTCTTCCAACTTTGTAATCCATGGAATATCACACACTCTATAGAGATCCCACGTGCATAATTCACCAGCTTTCTAAGTTGTTCTTTCCCTTGTAAATAATCAGACACATCTATGTATAATTCACCATCTTTTTGCTCTTTTCTGGATGTTGCTAAGAAGTTTATCAATAAAATTGAACGCCAAACTGAAGTTTAGCATGATTCCCTGCTGCTGTGTTTCACTCTTTGACATGATCTGGAGAGCCAACAATCTCACTTGGCGCAGCTCCCATGTTTTCCTGGAGAGCCAACAATCTCATCATCACACCTGCCTGTTTTAGAGGGTTTTTCTTCAAATGCTTATGTGGTTGGTGGTGGCTCACCACTTTCTTTTACAATGGCAAGGCCCAAGAAAATATAAATGTTTATTAGTTGTTACTAATACATCAAAATAAATAATTAGGTTTTGTTTAATTAAATTATTTATCTAATGTCATACCATGTAATATGAGATGTATAATCAAACTACCTAATATGAAAATATCTTTCATTTGAAAATCTTTCAAGAAAATTGAGATTTCAATGCTATGTGTTTTTGGATGGTTTAATTATTGTTAATATTAAAATTTAACTATCCTAACAGAATTATTCTGATTCTGATTTCAAAGAGTTAGCTTGATGTTGGCTAAGAAGATGAATGCGACTGAGACTTATTGCTTCCAATTTCTTTATAAAAATAAACCACTGTGTATGTTCTTGTGTTTGATGTAGGATGTATTTGTGTGTTGATAATAAATATGATAAATTAAACGCTAGATAAACACTATAGGATTGCAACACTTTTTGTTCAAAAATAGTACACCATAATATCAATTAAAAATGATTTTTTTGTTCCAGAACATATCTGAGACCGAACACTTTAAGTCGTTCAATGCGGCTGTTGATGCATGAGGACGTTTTGATAGCAAACTTTGGCTTTAACTGCAACGGAAAAATCATTTCAAAAGGACTTTCACTTGCCGTTCTGGGCTATCTTTGACGAGGTATCTCTATTATTTATAAACAGAAAATTTGTAGAAAACTATAAGAAGTTTAAGTTGTTAATCAAAATTCAAGAGTTACAAAGAGAGTTTTCAATAGAAAGACAAAGAGATTATGCCACATGATTTTATTTCATCTGGGTGGCCCAAGAAGCCCAGTAGCTACTGTGGAAATGAGCGGAGCTGCTGTGGCCCGATTCAAAAAACTTTGGTATAAATAGTGTCTTCAGGGTACGACTTAGGGTTTTTTCACAGAGGCAGATCTGAGATCTAATATGAGGTAAGCCATCTCATTTGCTTTTGGTTTGGTGCTTTTCTCTCCATTTTACTTATTCTTTTTTCCATTCGGTCTCTGTGATTTTGTTTCCAGAACTGTTTCTCTAGTGACATGTTCGTGTAAATATCGGATCCGTTAAAAATTAATCTCAGATATCTATTATTCTCTCGTAGTTAGAAGTTTTAGAGGGTTTTTCCTCAAAATCTTATGTGGTTGATGGTGGCTCACCACTTTCTTTTACAATGGCAAGGCCCAAAAAAATATAAATGTTTATTAGTTGTTACTAATACATCAAAATAAATAATTAGGTTTTGTTTAATTAAATTATTTATCAAATGTCACACCATTTAATATGAGATGTATAATTAAACTACCTAATATGAGAATATCTTTCATTTGAAAATCTTTCAAGAAAATTGAGATTTCAATGCTATATGTTTTCGGATGGTTTAATTATTGTTAATATTAAAATTTAACTATCCTAACATAATTATTCTGATTTCAAAGAGTTAGCTTGATGTCGGCTAAGAAGATGAATGCGACTGAGACTTATTGCTTCCAATTTCTTTATAAAAATAAACCACTGTGTATGTTCTTGTGTTTGATGTAGGATGTGTTCGTGTGTTGATAATAAATATGATAAATTAAACACTAGATAAACACTATAGGATTGCAACACTTTTTGTTCAAAAATAGTACACCATAATATCAATTAAAAATGATTTTTTGTTCCAGAACATATCTGGGACCCGAACACTTTAAGTCGTTTAATGCGGCTGTTGATGCATGGGGACGTTTTGATAGCAAACTTTGGCTTTAACTGCAATGGAAAAATCATTTCAAGAGGACTTTCACTTGCCGTTCTGGGGTATCGTTGACGAGGTATCTCAATTATTTATAAACAGAAAATTGTACTTTCTTGATTACAGATCTCAAATCCATGTTGGCGGTGTGTTTTCCGCTCTTTCAGCTAGAGAAGATCATACATCTCATGTGCTAGACATTGGTCATTGCTTGGCATTATCCAACTTATCCTCCTTTCTGCTATTGTGCAATGGCCACACTTGAGGAGGCATTTGATGACCTGTTTGTTGCAGCTTCTGAACAATGCATTGAAGATCTCCGTCAATACCATTACTACGTGCAAGAACGGAGAACTAGGGCATCCACTGCTGCATTAAGTACGCATCCACTCCATTAATTTATTTAAACTATCAAAATTATTGTTTTTAGGGTATCCAATCTTTTCAATAGGTGTGTTGTCCATCATAGCTAGTTTTAGGGAACTCCATACGGTTAAAGGAATGCGACATGTTTCTGTCTCCCATGAGACTGAGCCCTGGAGGACATGTCCTCTAAGGGTATGATTTGAAATTCTTCTCTTCTTATGTATTATATGTTTCTTGTCAGGGTTGTCCACCACCATAAGACTGAGCCGGCACTTATGGAATCATCATATGTTTGTTAGTCCGATCTTATCTTATAGTCCCTTGAGACATATTATTTCACCACGGTGGTTGTAATAAGAGATTTGAGCCTTTTCCTTAGTACTTGTAATCCCCTAGCAAATAGATAGAATTTTTTTTGAGGTCTTTGATTTATTTTAAAATTTTTGCTAACCACAACCCTTTCAAAATAACAGTCTTTTAGTTCACATTTTTACTCCCGTTTAATCAAATCATATCTCATCATCACACATGTCTGTTTTAGAGGGTTTTTCTTCAAATGCTTATGTGGTTAGTGATGGTTCACCCTCTTCATTCTTGCAAGTCTTGTTGCCAAGCGTAAATTCACCTTAACTAAGAACTAACTTTCTTTAACAACGTCATGGCCCAGAAAAATATAAATGTTTATTAGCTGTTACTAATACAGCAAAAAAAAAATTTAGGTTTTGTTTAATTAAATTATTTATCTAATGTCACAATATTTAATATGAGATGTATAATTAAACTACCTGTTAGTTAGTTTAAGTAACTAACCGTCCCTATCTATAGCCCATGAATGAATTAAATTGTTACTATCATCAAAAAGGACAGAAATGTTGTTTGTGTAGCGTATGATTTTACTGATTTCATTTCCTTTTACTGTTTACTACGTCTAGTAGAGTATAGTTACTGATTTTTTCTTCTAGTTTCTTTTACTACGTCCGAAGCCATTTTCCCTTCCATTAAGGTTTCAACCTTGGTTCCATTGAGTCTTTAATTTTTTTCAGAATTACCTAATATGTCGTTTTTGTTGATCAGATATTACATTGTACACTGTCTTTCTGAACTATGAATTATAGATTCTGGTAGAAGTGTATATAGTGCTGACATGTTACATACTTCTCATATTATTTTATTTTTTTGATCGAACTTCTCATATTATTATTTTTTTATCAAACTTCTCATATTATTTTTAGAGTAATATTGGCTCATAGCCTTCGAAACTCTTGTTGGAGTGAGAATTCGATTATATTACTGATTACTGATTTTCTGAGAATATATTTTGGTGAGACCATCACTAGGATAACTTGGTTTAGAGTTGGTTTACTTTTTGCTCTGGAATATTTTAGAACTAAAATACTAAATCCTGTTTTTGATCATTTTGGTTCCAAGTCAAGGAAGATTATGTATGTGTACCTGACCTTTTTTTTTTTTTTTAATCTGGTTATGCCTTTTTGCCATTTTATCTGGTAGTTTGGTAGATATTACTTGGTTATCTGATGGTATGATCATTCTTGTTTATCATCTTGTAGATATAGCCACTGAAGACGACTATCCTGAAGCTTTTTGACAATCTCGAAAAGTATGGTATGTAGTAACACTACATGCCATATTATGTATATGCAAAAATTTCTCCAACACTTCGTAAATTGTTTAGGCTAGATTTAACTAAAGATGGGGCAGTACAGTAACATCAGCAAACCATCTCCAAAAGTTATGACCATGTGTTTAAGGGACACCAGGTTTGTTCACTCCGGATTCTGCTTTATTAATGGTTTGTTCACTCCGGATTCTGCTTCCGTGCAGGCATTTCTTCTTGTCCTAATCGCCATTCTCCTCCAAGTCTCCCCTGAGATATTCCTCTCTTTTTCTTCTCCCAACACCACTCTCTTTGCCATTGACGACTCTTCCTTGTACAACACGTCATCTCTCCCTCCTCTGTTTCTGAAGCAGCTTCTTCAGTATCACACAATCCCTCTGAGGCTTCCTATGAAGGACCTCCTTGAGAAGCCTCAAGGAACCTGTCTCCAAACTCTTCTCTGTCACCGGAGCGCCCAAATCTCCACCGTTGACAAAGAATCAAGAACATCAGAAGTGAATCATGTCATGATCTCACATCCGGACATGTTTCTTGGATATGATACAAACAAAACCATTCTTGATGAAGAAGATGTCCCGGTTAAGATAGATAGAGGTATATATTTCAAATCTCAAATAGAGTATTTTACAAATTATCCCAAATAAAATTCATTAAACAACACTACAGAAAATCAAAACTGTCTTCAGCTCAAGCTCCAACGCAATGGCGACTTTGTTACGTCGGTAAGCCTCGCGACTAGTTGGAAGCTGCATAAAAAATCGATTTCCCGTCAACCCATTTCTTGAGAAGTCGTGGACTGCTCATGGCCGCCTGCGATATCTGACGCCGTCCATTTCCTTTAGTACCCCTTTACCACGTCTTCTAGAAAGAGAGCATCTTGCTGCTACCGCTGTCACAGTCCATACTTCCCCCTCAGATTGAAACTGAGGGCCACAAGATAAAATCGGTGTTGGCTACGACGATGGAGAAAATCAAGCTCCGATGAGTTCTTCAGATTCGAATTTGGGAGTGAATTATATTTATGAATGTTAAAAAGTGAGGATATTAAAAGGTTTAAAAAGTTTGGAATCTCTAGCGTGTGAGACTAGCGTGATAACCGACTACACCACCTAGACGTTTTGTTAGCTTTTATGTTTTCTGTTAACAAGACAATGAAAACTAATAGTGCAATAACATACAACAGAATGAATCTTGTTTCGATTGTCTTGGATAAGATATTTCTTTAAACCAGATTACAATGGTCTGGATCAAAGAGCATAGAATAGTATTTTCTTACATATATATATAAATAATATGTTTTAGGCTAGCAAATTAAAAAACACAATGAGGATAAAGAAAAACATGTGCATAAATAATTTTAAAAGGGGTTCTCAGCGGCGGCGTAACCAAGAGCAAACTCGCGGGCAGTCATGTCAGTGCTCATCACATCCAGCTCGGGTGGTAAAATGGTGACAGACACTTTCCATCTTCCAACGTAACTTCCGTTGAGAGCCAAGGCCTTATCTACTACACCTTCTCCACGGAGAACCAAGGTAGCAGAACTGCTGATAATCGCACCGGTTACCGGGTGTGTCGGCACCCTAATGTCCTCCAGACCACATGACTCAAAGTGCTTCTCCAAATATCCAACAAGTTCAACAATATCAAGCGAAGTGTCATATCCCGAAACGCTAATCCTAACACTATATCATCAAAAACCAGTAACCAAAAAACACATCTTTATATAATAAGATACAAGAAACTCGGAAAAGAAAAAAGAAAAACATCTAACCTGTTTTTGACATGCGTGTAGTAATCTTCGAGAAAATCCACCAGGCCGTTCTCCCCACCCGGAGTCATCTCAGTCACCATGACACTCCCACCTGTTAGAAATCAAGAATAAACTTTGCTCAAATACAATAAAATAACAAAAGACTGCTTAAATCATTCTGGACAGACATACCGATCTGAGGAGGAGCGATATCTGTAGACACATGGACGAAGGTTTTCTTGCTGCTTCCGAGAGAAGAATTCACAGCATGGTAAGCTTTTGCGGGAATTCCAAGTTCTTGAGGCTGGACATCAATAGTGACCAACACTGGATTTGGAACATAGCTGCAGCAACAAAAATAAAACAAAGCTTCTTTAATCGGAAATTAAACAAAAGCTACAAAAACTATGTAAGGGAGCGAAAGGAAAACAGTTTCTGCCTAAAACAAGGCTCTGATTTTATTAAATCAGATCCTTCTTCAACAGAGCATAAGAGTGCTAATAAATCACGATGATAAGATTGAGCTAGAAACTAACCCACTGAACAGAGCGTGAACAGCCAAATCGTTCTCCCGAAGTTTAGCGCATGTGCTGTACCAACCAACTACATCCTCCTTGGCTGAAAAGAAAGAAAAAAAAAGTTTTATTTTTGTCAAAAACATGGTCATATATAATTGAAGCATACCATTAAGGCCCTTGAACATGCCGAACATTGACTCATGGTGTTTGCTATCAAAAGACCAGATACTTGGGTCTTTGTCATCCTCCTCGAAGGGCACTACAAAACAATATACGTCAAACAAGTCATATGAAAGCAACAGGTAGGTTCCTAGTGACAGTGTCTAGAGATATGCATCTACCCAAACTCAACTACAACCCAAAAATATATTTTTTTTCCTTAACCCTAGATTGCTGTTATACATACATCTAGCTAGAACCCTAATAAGCATAGAACACCAACGAAAATAGGGAGAAAAAGGCAAACCTGCGTAGCTGTTGGTGACACCAACGATACCACGGGAGATACTGCCGAGAAGAGCACCGACAACACGCTTTCCCGAGTCCTTAACGAGACGGTTGTGATTGTCGACAATATTACGCAAGACTAATGGGTGAACGACCACCTTCTCGATCGTACTTGCTGACATCTGTTGCGTCTTAATCATATCCATGTTCGTTCCGGAGAATTAAGCCTTCTGACCTACTTCTATTCTCTGTCTTTTATCTCTCTTTTATAGGCCGGACTTGTAACTGGCTTTTTATAGTTACTTTGATATAATAAAACCGAACCAAATTGATAAAAGGGCAATTCTCTCAAACAGTCCTCTTTTAAGTTTTTATCACAAAAATAGATCTATAGAATTAAAATGAACAAAATAACACTTTTTATTTTGAAAATTTTAAATTTTTCTAATTTTTTTAAATTCAAAACCTTATCTCCAAAGCCCCACTCCTCAAATCTAAACAAAAAAGTATAAGATATAGTTAACCCAAGGGGCATAAATATATATTTAAAAAACATTTAAGTGCTATTTTGGTCATTTTAATTGTTAAGGTCTATATTTGTGATAAAAACTTTTTAGGTCTATTTTAGTCATTTTCTCTTGATTAAATTATTCTTATATATTTTAACTAGGATTTTTAATTCCTGATGCATGCGAGAATTGATATTACAGTATAATTATTTTATTTTATTTTAATCTTAAAAGAAAAATAAATGCTATATACACATTTTCTATCAAATTGCTATATAAATGCTATATAAATGCTATATATACACATTTTATTTTATTTTCTATCAAATTGCTATAAAAATGCTATATAAATGATATATACACAGTTTATTTTATTTTAGTCTTAAAAATAAATGCTATATACACATTTTCTATCAAATTGTATTCAAAGTAGGATTTTTCTTCTTAAAATTTTATACAATTATATTATTTAAATAACTAATATCTAAATGTGTTTTGTTTGTTTATGTAAATCTTTAATGTAATTATAAACTTATTTATATTGTTTATTAATCATAATTTCCAAAATTTATATAAATTCTTAGATGTGTATTAATTAGTACTACATCATTGGTTTATAGAAATAACTTATCTATAGTATATGTTATTTGTGAATATTTTTAATTTCATATAACCAAAATTTTAATAATTGCATCAACTTATATATCTTTTATTTTATTTATTATTTAAATATCTTATATATAACCTAAACTTTGAAAACGATGTGTTCTGAATTTATATATTTATACCTTGAATTTTTCGAATTTTGATTTAATAATTTCATTGGTTAGTTATTTTTATGGTAATTAGAAAAATCAGTTAAACATTAAGTAACTCGTATATAATATAAGCCACAATTACTTGTGTTTGAATCCTCCCTCAAACACAGAATAGTTTACAAAATCAAGCGCACAGCGCACACCACTTACTCAACTTGCTTGATCTTTGTCTTCTTGCTCCCCTCTCACAGATCTCCAAAATAAGACAGAAAGAAACTCATAATCTACAAATATTTCTGATTCAGACCAGAACAAAGGAGAGTTTTTAAAAAGATTCATATGTTTTATCTGGTGGTTTATGAAAATAGTGACTTTGATTCTGTTTTTGTTTTGAAACAGCTGAAAATACTAAGCATGGATCGTTATGCGACGAGGAATACAGAGGATCTAGTTGTATCAAACTATCAGGAGACATCAATCACACACAAACATGAAGTAGAAACTTCGAAATAAATGAAAACATAATGGCAAAGCACACTGATATTTATTCAGTCATACACACTCACACATGAACCATAACACATACAAACAAATGAAAACATTAATGACAAATCACACTGATATTTATTGAAACAAACGTGAACACATGGCCTTGTTCAGCAGTACCTGAAAGTGAGACCAGACCCACCTAACTTATCATCCACCAAGGCAGACAACCTCTCCACCTGTACAGGCGACAGATAGTTTCTCCAGTCACTCACTTCCCCTTTCCTAAACAAGTACCTATTCTCAAAGTTCTTGATCGATTTGTTTAACTTGTTCACCTCCAACTTCTTTAGACTCTCGAAGCTACACAGATCCGCTATCGCCTTCACAACACCCTTTCCTTCCTCTTCTTCAGTGAAAGAAACGCCCAAGAAACTTGCAAGCTTCTTCAAGTTAGTCTCAATGTCTTCTTTCAGATCTTCGTATTTTAAAAACAAGACTCTCTCTGGTCTCTTCAAGCTCTCTTTCCAGTACCCCAACATGTGTTCCCAAAACGGTCCGAACCCTATCACTCCCCTGCAGTACAGATCAAACCCTTCTTCCAACGAGACAGGACTCACTGACTCTGACTTCACACTGTTGCTGAAATGCCACGAGGAGATGAACGTGTCGAACGGGTTCCGACACAAGTACACAACCTTCACACCTTGTTCCTCGATGGAGCCCTTGAGAGAACCAAACGGGACGTGTGTTGCGAATGTTCTTGGACTAGCGAGACCAGAGAGGTCTGGAACTTCTCCGTTTGCGTAAAGCTTGTACTCCAAGAAAGGAACTAGGTCATGAGGGTTTGACGTGAGGAGAGGGTGGTGGTCAGAAACTACCGGATCAAACCGGTTTCGGTTAAGGATGGCAAACGTTAAAGCTTTTAACCATGTTGTACCGGATTTTGGTATGGTGGCGAGAATAACATCGTTTTGGATAGGCTTGAAGTGTTTTTGAAAGGACATGATGGCATGAATCTCCTTGGCTTGGCACCAGAACCCTTGGAACAGGTAAAGGTGACGTGTTCTCCAACCTCTTTCCTTAGGAAGAGAGTCCAACATGTCTAAGAACTCGTGGCTTAGCCCTTCTTCTTCCTTGAGAGGCTGGAGCTTGTGGCAAATGGAGAAGCTAGGGATAGCCATTAGTGGCAAAGTCTTGATGCTTGAGGTCGCCATTGTTTGATATGTTTTCTTGAGTGAGTATGCTGTTTATATAATAACGTAAAATGCATGAAGATATGAGTTGTGACGAGAAGAGAGCGGTCTCAGATATTATCGCGCACGTGGGATATAAGTTTGGCCCACTCCATTTTTTATTACATTTCCTAATGAAAGTTGTGTCATTTTATCTGTATTCTCGAGAAAGACAAATGTGTCGACATTGAACAGTTTATATATCGACATGCCGTTAAATGCACAAACTTGGTATTGGATGCGTTTGATGCACTAAAAGGAAGTGGAGCCTACGTTGCTTTCTTTATATCCTTAAGTCGACAGCTATAGACAAAGCAAGTGAGTGACTTTATAAGACTTTATAAGGCTTACTTTAATGGAGAATGATACATATCTCTTTGATTACGACTATAAACCATATCTTTCTACTTCTTGTCTATATGCGTGACCAGATATTTTTTTCTCTCGTGTTTATCAAGTAATCAAAGAGATATGTATCCGGAAACAATCAGTTGCACTTCTTTTTTTTTATTTTTGTAAGAGTGCTTTGAGACTTCTTGTATTTACGAAGATGTGGCGTCTCCTTAGATTGAAAGTTTTGTAATGTTGGTGGTAACATTAAAAATATAACTCAGTAAAAACAAACATTAAAAAGATAATTTCTGGAAAAAAAAAAAAAATTAAAAAGATACAAAGACTCTTAAGGGAATATATTAACAAGAAAGCATAATATTGGTATAGGTTTAAATTCTTTTTTTACAGAACATGTATTGAATCGTATGCTAATAACCTCTTAAGAGGTGCTACTTGTTGTCTGAAAAGAAGACACCTCTTCAGGCTGAGACTCACTGGCTATAGCATCTTGGAGTAAAGATTCTTGCTGAGCCACCGGTGAGGTTTCTTCAGTTAGTGCAGGGGCAGGGCAACAGAAGTTGAACAACTTCTGAAGATTTGAACTTGTTAATGTAATAGCTAAGAGACGGCCCAGTGTAGTTTTCCGACTTGGATGAGGATAGAGGAAGCGAGTGCGATAAGGGCAAGACCTCCTACGATTGCTGATGTGTTCTCTGCCTCATTGGAAGTGCACAACATGGTCAGATTAGATTCGAGACTGGAGAGATGGTAAAGGTAATATGTGAGGAGGAAAAGACCGAAGAGGCGATGATGTTGTCTGTCTAGTGTAGTGTTTTGTGTGTGGTGGGCTTTTCAATCAGGCTACGCGTGTACGTGTACGCTTAAAGCCCATATGCTTAACGATGCTGTTGTTATGAACGTAACTGCCATGCATGCATAAACTGATTAGGGTTTTGAATAAAGAACAGCAAGCAATTTCTAACCAAGTTTGTGTGTACTAGTTAGTGTGTTACATCATGTTAAACTTAATTGCATGTATTTTAGTTTGAACCATCTTTTTCTTTCTTTTTTTTTGTCAACTAGTTTGAACCATCTAACCATGTATGTAAGTAGTATTTTTTTTTTTTTTTTTTGACAACTATGTAAGTAGTATTTT